ATTTATATCATTTCATATAGTTAATCAGTATCATGCGAAGACTGATGTTTTTTCCACCAAAAAGCAGCATGATTACAAATGTGATATTGATTTTATACAGCAGTTCAATAAACAAGAATTTAATATTCATACACTTATGTTTTAGACACAATATTGACTGTTTTTGCTCTATTTTGCCAACAAATACAATTCCAATTTGTGTCTCTGAGCAACATGAGCTGTTTTGTTCCTGAATGAATCAACCATTTAAATGATTTGGTTCAGTCGCAATGACTCACTTATTAACAGTGACTTGCTGCCACCTACTGGCGGTTTTAATTTCACATTTAAAGTATCTTTTCATTAAAAAAAAAATAATAATTCAAATATCAGTATTCAACGTTTTATGTTTAAAATATCAAAACAGTATTAATGCATTTGTAACTTAGGGTTAAAACATTAATGTCTGCATTAAACAGTGAGTTCGTTATCGATAAAATCCCAGAAAATATTGAGATATATTTTTGTCAGTATCACACACCCCTAATATATTTAATGTTTTGTTTAGAAAAAATTAAAATAAATATGAGAAGTGCTCTTTTTTCTACTTGAGCCCCTGCCCCTCAAAATGTCTGCGCACGTCCCTGGATGACTGTGTAGCAAATTAACTCCTTGAGAGTTGGTGGAGAGTTACACATTAACAGAACCAATAGCCTATACCAGACATGCTCATGCAAGACCAGATGACAAGTTAGCATATTGCTAAAATATGATACTATAGATAGATAGATAGATAGATAGTTAGCATGTTGCAAAAACAGTCAAGTCCCAAGTTTAACTCGAGTAACAATACAGAAAAACAGCACTCAACAACCAGTCCACTTCCGTGTTATACACCTGCGACAGGTAGGCAGGGCTCTAAAGCTGGATACACCTGAGCCACCGGTATTTTACAGTACATCAGCGAAACCAGGCAAACCCTTCATATTTTATTCTGCTAAAAGTAACCAAATATATTATTATCTCTCGGTACCATGACTACGGAATATAGACTTTGTGAACTGGCAACCGTGTCCTTGCATGTCAATGACCTGGAGACTGACTCTCAACTGGACGACCCTTCAAAACATCAAGACCGAATAGGAAATGTATGTGAAGGCGGCGGGCTGTTTTTACACACCAATGGTACAGTAAATGGAAAATCGCCAACAAAACCTGTGCGCAAATTTGAGAAATCGGAGAACTCTGTAGGCAGTGGTGCGGACTCCTTATCGACTTCAGGAGAAGCGAAACTGTGTCCAGTACATGAACAAGAAGTACAGTTCTACTGTGGTACAGAAGGAAGACTGACCTGCTCGAAATGTGTGTCGGATGGATCTTGTCAGGGTCACGAGGTGACAGAGCTGGTTACTCAGGCAACTGTAGTAAGGGTGAGTTACGATTAGTTAAATAACATAATAATTAGGTTTCAATGTATAAAACATTGACTAAACAATTAATAACTTAGCACGTTCGCTATTCCCTTACACAAGAAATGTGTAATGTTAGAATAACAGTTGAGAGTTTCAGCAGTATTGTGTAGCCTATGTAATTTGTATTCATATGGAGAGGGCGTGGTTAGTTTCATTAGCCTATGTCAGAAGCGTTACACCCCGAGGTGAAGAAACTTTGCTTTGTTTTATTTTTTTATCATTGCAATCAGATACATTTTATCTGTTATCTTTTACAAAATGTGATTTAAACATTTCTGGCAGTAACCATGCTATATTAAACGTATTGTGATGTTGCTATAAATGTTGAAGGATATTTGTTAATGTCATGATGTTTAGCAATGATTATTTTAGCAATAACTGGTTACAGCTGTATTAGTCTAATAGCGAGTGCTATTCTTCCTGGTTTTTCTTCTGTTTCCTTCGATGTACGGCGTGGGTTACGGCCATAACCCCCCCTCAGTGCTTTAATAAAGTTACAGTGCGACTGAGAACGCCTGGTTCATTAGTAGCGAAACGCTACAGTATTATTATTATTATTATTATTATTATTTGTTTTGCATTTACATTTTTTATTCACAAGAACTGATTTCCTAACACTTTGAAGTCTTTGCTGCAGATTTCCCATACTGTAAAATTGGTTAAACTCATAAATAATAGTAAAAATGTATTTTAGAATTTACATTTCAATGCAGTGCTGTTTCTTGTTTGCAATTAAAAAATACCTGCACAGCTCAAATCAACACTGGACTCTCGTTATGCACTGCTGGCCGTGAAGAAAGAAATAAAAACAGACATTCAGACATTCAGACATTTGTAAGCTTCCGAATACCATTGAGGACCTGTAGATCTGAAACGGGTTGCCTGTGTGATGAAACATTTCCTCAATACTTTCATATACCCTTTTTTCAAAAACAGACAAATTCAGATCATATCTACATGCCTTCACATTCCTGCCACGTACATACCACTAAACTGCTATAGTTTAATGCCTCTTATGTGATTTTTCCTCTTTGTTCCATCTTTTTTTTTTTTTTTTTTCAGAATCAGTTGGTGGATGTCTGTGAAAAAATGCAGCTGCAAGCCCTGCGGATCGAACGATTCATTGACCGTACGCTTACAGCTAGAGAGAAAGCTGTACAGGTACCTGAAGAATTCACTAATTAGTCAGGACAGCTATATGCTATATGCCAATGCTTACAAAATGCACTGTATTATTATTATTATTACTTTTTTATTGTTATTTTTACATAATTAGACATTAGACTGTTGTATTATTATAATTTTTTTGGACATGGTAACTTATTCTGTGTGATTTTAAATTATTTTTAATGGTGTTATAACATTATGTCCCTGATGTCCAGATAAACTGTAGTTATAACAGTGTAATACGGTATGTTGTTGTAATTGCCTCTTGTGCTGTTTAATTGATAGACAGATGCAAACAGTGCAAGAGAACGTGTGTTGGCTCAGGTAAACGTGGTGCGTGAGGCTCTTGAGGAGGAGGAGCAGCGTCTCCTAGAGGCCATACAGAGAGAGGAAGAGCGTGTGGAGCAGTGCCTCCTCACTCAGAGAGCACACTGGACTCACACTCTGGAGAAACTCACACACACACGCACCAGCCTGGTGCACACACTCACAAACTCAACAGATACCATGATTGTGGTGAGTGAATGAAGAAGCCAGGGGTGTAAAAAATACAGAAGATTTGTGCAATTTAACAAATATAAAATATGGATACTTTGTCAACACTTTACACATTCTGCTCAATTACGAGTCAAAGAATTAGTCATATTAAAGAATTAGAAAGTAACATAATATTTATGAGTAGATTGTTTATGTTGTTGTTGTTTTTTTAGGTTATTTTTTTTTGCATTACAGCAATGAGGATTTTGGGCAAGATGTGCTTCCTTCTCTTTATGTATTCAAACAGTATAGTGTATATGATCTTTGATTACATGTGGAATTCAATTCACAACTTAACCACTGTAAGTTACATAAATATTTGCAGTTATTAATAAATTTTTTCTTGGCATATGCAAAATCAACTATCAAACTGATCATATTTTCAATACTTTATATTTACTTAATGCATTTTTCCCCCATTTGTTTTTGGGATGAAATATGACCTGGACATTACTTGATAAAATTAGAAGAGGTGATCTCATTGACGTAGTATGCAAACTTTGTGTGTGTGTGGGGAGGGGACCCTGTTTAATCACAGTTTTGCCAGTGCTCAAATTTTCAAACTAATTTAGGAAGACAAATCAATCAAATTAAAAGTAACTTGTCTTGACAGCATAAGGTTGTAGGACACACTTCAAATATATCAACAGCTAATTGACATTTAAGTACAGTAATAAATAGAATAAACCATTTTTAAGTATTTAGTTTCAATAGTACTTTACTGAGTAAATTACAAATTACCCAAAATAATACTTAACATTTTTAGAAAAGTACTCTACACTTATGAATCAGTTTAATTGTTTTTCAGTCAGTTTCTGATAACTAATATGTTTAGATGTTAATCAATTAATAAATAATAATGTGTGATATTCGACTGATTGTTGTATTTTTTTCAGAGCTCTAATGAGGAAATAAATGACAGGTAATTTCAGTTACTCGGTTATTCACAATAAATGCAATAATATGCTCACATAAATACATAAAATGAGATAAGCAGGATATGAGAATTGATTGTATACATGACTGTGCTATAGAATAGAGGATGCGGAGGGTGTTGGTGAACCTAGAGACACTGAGAAACTGACTTTGAACAGAGGCTGCAGTGACAGTAAATTCATGGTTGGTTTATGGGCCAGTGCGTTACTGCTAGGACCATCTGGTAAGTACAATTCCATTTCCACAAGACAGGGATTAATTTTAGACAGATTCAGTGTATCACATGATCACCAATATTCTGGGTTTTAAACATTTCAGTGCCACAGGTTCTCAAATATTATGACTTCCTTTCTAAAAAACAAACAAAACAAAAACCTTTATTTTCATGTATTTATATTGTGGAAAAATACAAATATTATAAATATGCATTAAATATAATTTAAAATATAATTTTGTTAGATGTATAAACCTAAAGAAAAACACAAATTGTGGCTGTCAGTTGAACAAAATAGTTGTGATTTATCTCATCATTTTTGTCCAGAAAGTATGTTACAACTGCTGATTAATTAAATATTATCAAAAATTTTCATACTATTTTTCTGTGGACCCCTTAGCACCTTCTTTCAGCCCCCCTTCGGTTTCCCAGACCTGCTTACATATTGCTTAAACTGGGGAAAAAATGGTGTAAAAACAATTTTCACTCAGAAATTGATAGTATATTTTACCCCAAAATGGCAAATAATACATTGAATTAAACATGAAATACTGAAGTAGAAAAACTGAGTTTTTTCTTGTAAAATGTACACCAATGATCTTTACAGTGTACAGTGTACTTTACAGTATTTAATTTTTGCAGTGTACATATGCTTTCCAGATGGGTCAAATCGAGTCTTTAATATTTATTAAGTGTTATAAGTGTACTATAATATTTTGAAGCACTGGCATTCTACATTCCTTGCATTCAACTTTAAATTTTCTTGCTCTGAACATCTTTTTAATATTCTTCTTTCCTTTAGCCCATAGATTAACTGCACTACGCTTCGAAGCTCAGACGGTCAGTCCTCTTCTCTCCCTCTCCAACGACCAGCGCACCTTAACTTTCCTGCCCAAACGTCAGCGTCAGTTACCCCCCTCTGACCCGGCGCGCTTCGACAGCTGGCCTAATGCCCTCTGCTCCCCTCCCATGTCCTCTGCTACTCACAGCTGGGTACTTGATGTGTGCACGAGTGCTGCCTTCAAAGTGGGGGTATGCTATTCCAGCATAGAACGCAAAGGGTCCGGCAATGGTGCACGGCTTGGCTATAACACAAAATCGTGGGCGCTCTCGCATTATGATGGAGACTTGTCTTTCTGTCACGATGCATGTAATGTGGGTATCACAGTGGCTAAGAAGCTCAAAAGAGTGGGACTGCTTCTGGACTGGCCCAGTCAGACCCTTCTGTTCTATGATCCCGAATCTACGTCTGTGCTGCATGTAGTCAGACATGCTTTCAGTGAACCACTTCTGGCCGCCTGTGCTGTGGCTGATCAGAGTGTCTCTATACTGCACTGAACAAGCGATGAATGTTAATGAAGGCTCTGAAGATCCCGAGGACTTGATGGGTTGGTGGATGTAACATTATGCAATGTCATTTGAACCAATGATCATTTTTAAACATGTTTTACATTATCTGTGACATTGAACACCAATATATGCAAAAATAAGAGAAAGTGTGATAAAATCAATCACATTGTTTAGTTATAAATAAGCTAATTTGCCAGTCATCAGTAATTCCTTGATTTTACAAACTTGCTTAAAAGAACTACAAGCATATGCCATTGACATATTTTTATATTTATAAATTATTTAAATAACATTATTCTCCATCTCTTTCAACGTATGTCATGTTTATATGTTCAAATTTGTCCAATTATTGTTTGACTGTTCATATTTATTATCTGCACATCATATGAAATAGTTGCATTTATCTGTGACAGTACCCAACTGATACTAATATAGCTGATATTGATATTTGATACTATATTCTAGTTGAGCTTTCATGTGATCACATGACATCATGGCTCTGATGTCACTGAGGACAGTGGGGCAATTGACATGTAAGAACATGTGATGAAACTCTTAATTATCAGATTTTCACATGGTTATCGTTAATCATCATTATGGCAACAATGTTCTGACCTTTGTGTGATGTGATGCATCACAACACCTATTATTAGTGTACTAAAGAAAGTCTAAATATAAATAGTAAGTCTACTTATGTCATTCCTGTTCAAGGACACTTTTGAATACACTTTTGAATACGTTGGTCTCTTTAAAAAAAAAAAAAAAAAGACAATTTGCAGATTATTGCTGAAAAAAAAAACGTTTTGAAAAGTTATAAAAGTTTAAGTTTACTGTAAATGAAAAGTACTGTATTAAATATTGTGCAATAAAATCAAAGCTTTATGTCTAAATTAATTTGACGATAAAAAAAATTGAGGTTCCTGAGATTTATTTAAGCGTTATACCAAAAATAGCCAACAGGTGACACCAAAACTCTGATCTTTTTTTGCATTATGCATTTTCCTTTCACAAATTTATAAATTTGTTGCAATATTATTTCTATCACAAACTAACCACCAAATATGGAAGCTTGAGACTCACAACTTTCCAATAATATGTATTTTGTCAAAATTATAAAAAGTTTTGATTCTAAAATATTGTAGTACATTTTGTAATATGACCACCTACAAGGGGGAAGAGCTCAATAAAAGATATTTAAGTACCATTTCCATGGTAACGCAATGGCCAATTTCAAAACATTTTTCACAGGAAGAATTTTGAGTGTTTAAGCTTTCAAATGATATCTAATTCATGATGATTACTAAAATATGTGAGAAAAAAAAAAACAAGTAAAAAAAAGCGTTTGAGCGAGTTTGAATCCAAACTTGTCCAAAGTGCAAAGAGTTTGAAAAGCTACAATGTAAGGGAAAATTTGCATCAAATAATGACATAAAAAGTACCTGCATATGTTCAGAAGATATGGATTATAGTGCATGATTTGTATGGGCAACATTTATAGTACTTTTATGGTATTTAGTTGAAAGTTTTGGAACTTAACAGCCAAAATCTTATAAATTTATTCTGTTATGTTCCTCAAATAATAATAATAATAAATTTTTTTTTAAAATCACAGTTTAGAAAGCCCTGTAATGCACTGGCCACTTGTGCAGGGCATTTTTCTGCCCTTGGTTCAAGATGCTGGGATAAAGGCTCTAGAACTCCAATACTCCTGTAACCCTTCAGGGCTGGAAGGATGATTGTTCGAGCCTCAACAGGAGTCATCAACTGTGGCCTTTAGCAAGACAGTTATGTGTTACCATCATGATGTAAAACTTATCTTAATCTTTAAAAATGCACAACCAAGTTTTTGGCCTCCTGGGAAACAACAGTTTGCATATGCAACATAATGATTACACTTGGTAATTCAGACTTTAAATAAGTTAAACATTTAAAAAAATTATACACTTAAAAAAAATAAAATAAAAAATGAACTGACTCTTAGCAGGCACCTTCCCATCAATGCTTTGAATTTTACGCAAACAGCTATTGGTAGCCAGTGCAAATTGATAAACAGAGGTGTGATGTTCTTTTTGGCTCATTAAAAATTAATCTTGCTGCCGCTTTTATATTTTAAGCGTTCTGGATTAATTGTAAAGGTTTGATAGAACTGGCTGGAAGACCTGCAAAGAGAGCATTGCAATAGTCCAGCCCGGACAGAACAAGAGCTTGAACAAGGAGTTGTGAAGCATGTTCCGACAGAAAGGGCCTGATCTTCTTGATGTTGAATAAAGCAAATCTGCAGGACCGGACAGTTTTAGCAATGTGGTCTGAGAAAGTAAGCTGATCATCAGTCTTATCTCCAAGGTTTCTGGCTGTTTTTGAAGGAGTTATGGTTGATGTGCCTAACTGGATGGTGAAATTGTGATGAAACGATGGGTTTGATGGAACCACAAGCAGTTCTGTCTTGGCAAGGTGCAAGCTTCTAGAGGGCACATAAGTCTGAAGTAATGAATTTAGGTAAAGGGGGGCAGGGCCAGTGGTGGTTTTGTAGGCAAACATCAATGCCTTGAATTTTATGCGAGCAGCTATTGGTAGCCAGTGCAAATTGATGAACAGAGGTGTGACATGCGTTCTTTTCGGCTCATTAAAGATTAATCTTGCAGCGGCATTTTGGATTTGTTGTAGAGGTTTGATAGAAGTGGCTGGAAGATCTGCCAAGAGAGCATTGCAATAGTCCAGCTTGGATAGAACAAGAGCTTGAACAAGGAGTTGTGAAGCATGTTCCGACAGAAAGGGCCTGATCTTCTTGATGTTGAATAAAGCAAATCTGCAGGACCGGACAGTTTTAGCAATGTGGTCTGAGAAAGTAAGCTGATCATCAGTCTTATCTCCAAGGTTTCTGGCTGTTTTTGAAGGAGTTATGGTTGATGTGCCTAACTGGATGGTGAAATTGCAGTTCTTTCTTGGCAAGGTTGAGTTGAAGGTGATGGTCCTTCATCCAGCAAGAAATGTCTGTTAGACAAGCTGAGATGCGAGCAGCTATCGTCGGATCATCAGGATGGAATGAAAGGTAGAGTTGAGTGTCATCAGCATAGCAGTGATATGAAAAGCCATGTTTCTGAATGACAGAACCCAGTGATGCCATGTAGACAGAGAAGAAGAGATTTAAACACCTATGTCCCCACTAGATAGTAGCAGAGGACAATATTCACTTTCTTCTGGTTCACCAGAGAACAGACTTTACTCAGCTGCTGCAAATTCGAAATGGATGCAAAATAAATGTGTTATATTATGAACATTTTTATTTATTGTTGTATTATGCATCTTTATGTTTATTGTTATCTGCATGTTATCTACATGCAGACTACTGCATGGTTTTCACTTTGCACTGTTAACTGTATCAATATTAATTTGTTTTAAAAGACAAATCCAAAAATGTAAAGAAATATCTGATCAAACTGATTGATCATTATTTTTCTTTATTTTGAGATAATATTTAATTATAAATAAACATTAAAATTACAAAATATAACTGAGAAAATAGCACCAGTATTTCTAGAGGTACTATTGTCATCACTTATTTCATTAAACAGACTATATAATGTTTATTATTATTATTATTATTATTATTATTAAAACTTTCAAAATAAAATAAGGATGTCACAATTTTGTTCTTGTGCTGGTTTAACTCCACTGTAGTAGCAACAATGAATATTCTAGTATCATGTGTGTTCCTATAATCCTATAAATCAACAGTGAATAGATGTTTACAAAATGTTTTATATTAAACTTCCTTCATCTTCTTTCTGAACAACCTAATTACTTCACTATTCATGCCATAGTATTTTTACATTGTTACATGACATTTTTTTTTGTTTTTTGAGGCATCATTTCCCATCATAGGAGGAAGAAGGAAAAGGTTATCTTTGTTGCAAAAAGAATGTATGTAGTTTCCTTGTGGGGATCTCCCACAAGCTAAAATTTTCATCAGTTAGACAGGTGAGCGTACTACGAGTTTGAGGATGTATTCTTGATGGATGGGATCAGATTGACAGGTGGTGGCTCAATGTTCAACTCATGTCTCAATTCATCAAGGTTCTGCTCCCAGCGTCCTTCATAGAAGAGGCTCAGAACACATCGGGCACGACCACCATTGCGCAGAGCCCATGGTCCCAGAGACTGAACCAGCAACTGTAGACGACTGACATCATCAACACAGAGACACACATCAAATTTTATTTACCCATACTGTAATACATTTATATGATGAACACATGATTTTATTTTTATTAAAAACAGCACAAGTTAACAATTTAAACATTTTGGGATTACAGTAAATGACAATTTTAAGGTACATTTTTGTAAACAAAATAAAATATACAGATTTTTTCCCCCCTTTGATTTTGGGGTGTGGGGTGTAATATGATTGAAGTTCTTGACGTTTTTGAGAGATTCATCCACATATGTTTTTTATGGCAAATTAAAATCAAATTAATCAAATATACTAGAAATAACATCACTTTTATTACCCAGATACATTAATATCATTATATTAGTAATATCAGGAAGAAATACAAAATTAACAAATATTTATTAGGATGTTTGTAATATCCTTGTGGTGACCTGGGAGACAGTAAAACTCTAAAACTGGTCACAGTGTACAGTATTAGATGAAAGCAAAGAATGACAGCACTAGGATGTCATAATAATGAAACCTTCTATATAACGACCATAATGAAACATGAACATAAGAATGGAAAATACTCAGCGAGGACAAATATTGGTTGTAAATCACAGAAAATTTCAACAGAAGGGGGCATACAGATTTACTGCATCCCTGGTATACAAAGCTATACAGTTTGAGATGCAGTTGCAGTGATTAAGTGCTGAAGTGTGTTCAGTCATATTATAAACATATGACTGAACACACTTCAGCACTTAATCACTGTGTTAATTAAACACATTATACTGACTTGAACTTGTCACTGATTGCATATCTACATAAAGGAATCTTCTAGTTTAACTGCAACTTAACCTCTACAGACCACATCTCTATTATTCTGTCAGTTACCACAGACAATAATGTTGCCTCACAACAATGTTAATCGCTTTGACAGTATGAACTTACAATCAAAGTCTAAGGGGCAAGACATTCTATAGGTTTACAATAAGATATGCGAAGCTTGTATTTTTGTTAAAGCATTTATATT